TGAACCCTTTATTTCGTTCACCCGGTGAGTTTCTTCTAGTTCCACGTGACATGCCTCTTCCATTAATTCAGATTTTCACTTTTTTTTTCAACACTGCCGTAGCCAGCTATTGAACTTACAACTCTTTGGGTAAAGTAACAGTATCCAACCAAGGCTATTATGTGTCTCTGAAGAAGGCCGGAGCTTACAGCGTCCGAAACGTCGTGAATAGGATAATAAAGATGAGGACACAAGTCTGCACCATTCAAATAAAGTAAATGATTACAATACCCTATCTCAGAAATATGGACAGTTATTGATTTATCATGTTTAGGTTTTAAAAAAATCATCAAAGAATTTATACAAAATTTCTTTTATGAAATTTTGGCTTTTGCAGAAGAATCAAATTAATACCTCGCCAAATGTCGGTCATTTCGTCAAATCAAAGTATCATTTAGACAATGCCAACATATATATATATATATATATATATATATATATATATATATATATATATATATATATATATGTGTGTGTGTGTGTGTGTGTGTGTGTGTGTTTTTGGATGGATGTACGTAAAACAAGAGAGAGTCTTGGCAACCTTAACTTGTTAGCAATACGTTTGATTATCTGAGAGTTCCACATTATACCGGCATTTTTCCAAACAAGAAAAAAAAAACTGCTTTATGTGCAGGCGTTTTTACGTAAAATATCTTTGTTGGCGGAACCGACTCCAAGATGGCTCTGGTAAATTTGTAATTTGGCTATTTTGCCGAAGAAACAACGTCATCAGAAAAACAAAATCGAATGTAGCGAGAAAAAAAAAAAAACCTAATTCACGTTAGATATATGAACGCTTTTCTGTTTGCTTTAACTCTATCGTTTTAGAAATTATATTTTGAAATAATACCAACTCGATTTATTTATTCATTCAATTTCATTTATTTGTTTTATCTTTCTTTCCAGAATCTTTCTGACATATCTATAAGTCTAGCAAGTGTCAAGGCTTAGAATATTGTTACCGGATATGATCCGGTGACCCTGCTTGATCTCCTTAATAAAATCCATACAAGATTCAGCAATATTATTAGTCCTTATCTGGCGGTTCCTTGTTCCTTTTCTATAATTACTTTCCCGGTTGTTCTTCGAAGTAGCTTTTTGCGATGTTACGTAGACTTTTTAAATTTAAGCGCTGCACTAGACTGGCGTCGAGATCTCATCAATTTATAGATGAGTTGGCTAGATGTAACCATAAATTCTATGCTAACAGTTTATTTTCTTGCTTGTGGAACTCCCTTCCGACTCCATGATTTCCAGTCAACTTTAATCAGTAAAAATGTAAGTGAAAAGCCAATCGCTATCTACTGTCCTCCTGATTACTCTTTACACTTCCCACTCATTCTTAATGTTTCTGTTCTGCTAATTCTTCCACTCTTTGTAACTTCTTGTGTCTTTGTGGCTTTACTTTCGATATTTTGAGAATCAAAGATGACTGGGAAGCAGTATGCTGCAAGACAATTCTGCAAGCGCGGGGTGTCGAAAGAAAAACTTAGCATAGAACTTACGGTTACATCTCGCCCTTTCAACTACAAAGTGGTGAAACCCTGCCTCAAATTTATTATTGTGTTTAATAGTTACAATACCTCATAGTGTAAATAGTTACAATATCTCATCTTAGAAATATAGATAGATCCGGAAGAAGCCCAGAGCGTACAACGGCTGACACCTCTTGAATATGACAATAAAGATGTGGACGATGTAATTAGTGTAAATAGCTACAATACCTCATCTCAGAAATATAGATAGATTCTGATGAAGCCCGGAGCGTACAACGACTGAAACCTTGTGAGTATGACAATAAAGATGGGGTCGATGTAAATAGTGTAAATAGTTACACTACCTCATCTCAGAAATATAGATAGATCCGGAAGAAGGCCAGAGCGTACAATGGCTGAAACCTCGTGAATATGACAATAAAGATGAGGACGATGTAATTAGTGTAAATAGCTACAATACCTCATCTCAGAAAAATAGATAGATCCTGAAGAAGGCCAGAGCGTACAGCTACTGAAACCTCGTGAATATGAAAATAAAGATGAGGACGATGTAAATAGTGTAAATAGTTACACTACCTCATCTCAGAAATATAGATAGATCCGGAAGAAGGCCAGAGCGTACAATGGCTGAAACCTCGTGAATATGACAATAAAGATGAGGACGATGTAATTAGTGTAAATAGCTACAATACCTCATCTCAGAAAATAGATAGATCCTGAAGAAGGCCAGAGCGTACAGCTACTGAAACCTCGTGAATATGAAAATAAAGATGAGGACGATGTAAATAGTGTAAATAGTTACACTACCTCATCTCAGAAATATAGATAGATCCGGAAGAAGGCCAGAGCGTACAATGGCTGAAACCTCGTGAATATGACAATAAAGATGAGGACGATGTAATTAGTGTAAATAGCTACAATACCTCATCTCAGAAAAATAGATAGATCCTGAAGAAGGCCAGAGCGTACAGCTACTGAAACCTCGTGAATATGAAAATAAAGATGAGGACGATGTAAATAGTGTAAATAGTTACACTACCCAGAGCGTACAATGGCTGAAACCTCGAATATGACAATAAAGATGAGGACGATGTAATTAGAAATAGCTATCTCAGAAAAATAGATAGATCCTGAAGAAGGCCAGAGCGTACAGCTACTGAAACCTCGTGAATATGAAAATAAAGATGAGGACGATGTAAATAGTGTAAATAGTTACATATCTCAAAATATAGATAGATCCGAAAGGAGAGCGTACAATGGCTGAAACCTCTTGAATATGACAATAAAGATGAGGACGATGTAATTAGTGTAAATAGCTACAATACCTCATCTCAGAAAAATAGATAGATCCTGAAGAAGGCCAGAGCGTACAGCTACTGAAACCTCGTGAATATGAAAATAAAGATGAGGACGATGTAAATAGTGTAAATAGTTACACTACCTCATCTCAGAAATATAGACAACTATACTGTGATAAAACTGGAGAGGGCCATGATTGCCCTTATCCTGAAGGAATATGACTCCAGAAGGAAGAACGGATCACTTTGTTTTCCTCATGTTATACTGACAGATTAAAAAGAATTAATTATTCGAATTGTCATTTGGAATTACTTTAAAAGAATAATAAAGAGCCTAGATATGGTGTTGTTTTATTTATTTAATTTTAAGGAAGAGATTTGAAGAGGAAAAGGATGAATACTTATACAAATCAGATTATTTTCGTTATTTTGAATATGAATTCGTGAAGATGAACCCTATGTTGATGGAAAGCACACACTTTTAATTTAATGACTGGAGGCTGCTTAGTGAAGCCGCTCGGAAAAAATTATAATTGTGAGGAAAAATGTGCAGAAAAAGCTAGAGTAAAAGTGAAAGAGAAACAAGCGAATGGTAAAGTTATCCATATATTGTCATATTGCACAGACAATGGTAAGGCACTGAAAAACATGTAAACCTGTGCATTAGCTTTGGTTGTATATATATATATATATATATATATATATATATATATATATATTATGGAAACGAAAACGGCAAGACGAGCTTTACCATCATGATTAATTTTTTTTTAATCGTCGTTTTTATTTGCATAATACAATTTGTAGGAAGAAAATAATGACATATATATATATATATATATATATATATATATATATATATATATATATATATATATATGTGTGTGTGTGTGTGTGTGTGTGTGTGTCGATATAATAGGAAAGAACTGTTAGATTGATTATCCGAAGTATTTTTGTTTTTATTTAAAAAAACAAAAAAAAAACAAACAAAAAAAAAAACAGGCTCGATACATAAGTAGAGTGTAGATTATAATTGTTGTTTTTAAAAAAAATATGATTCCATCGCGACAAAGAAATTACTATGTTTCGAAACTGGTCAGCAGTATTTAAGTTTAATTCCAATATTAACAGTTTCATCCTCAAGCAGTATCTTGCAATAACTATGTTACGGAATGTTTTACTCATTTATAGATATGAAATGGAGGTGTGGTCTAGGGTTTGTTTTTTCTTTATCACAGGGTCGCTACTTTGATGGAAGTAGGGGTGCTTGTGGGATGTTAGGTTTTTGGAGTTGTGTAAGGTTGGGCTGTTCTTTTTTTTTGTTTGGCTACAATGCCTAATCTTATAAGACTGCTAAAACTCTAACTGATTGCTATAGGAGTACTGTTTATTTAAAAAAAAATTTTGTTTTAATTGTGATAATAATTTCTGTGTAGCGATGGAATCATTTAAAAAAAAAATATAATTATAATTAATATATATATATATATATATATATATATATATATATATAATATATATAAAATATATTCCCTTCCAAAAGATTTAAACAGTCCATCATATCAAGCCCAAGATGAGCTGAGATGGTTTGAAAGTACTTGGAAAATATTTTCATTTTTCCCAAGGGAGATAACTTATGTGATTATATATATATATATATATATATATATATAAATTATAATTATAAATTAAAAAATTGTGAAATGGAAAACATTTCAATGAAACTAGGTTTTATCACGCGTTTCGCTTTTCTAGGGTTCTTCAGAACCAAAAAGGAAAGAAAGAAATGTGTGTATATGTATTTCTGTGCATGCTTAAATAATGAATGATAGTACTTTTTATTCCCCTCAGCTGGCTTTTCTTGTGATTAAAGAAGAAAGAAAATGAACGCCATTAATGTTTATTCTCTATCTTTTCTTTATAATTCTTAGTTCATCTCGAAAGCTGTTGATATATTTTCCCAGCTTTTTTTTTGTATCATCTCATTTCAGGATGGCTTGAAAGCAAGTAATTCATATAGGCTTTTTCTGAAATGAGTCCAAGGTAAATTCTTATCCAATCCTTCGCAACTTCACGTTTCGCCTTTCCAGGCTTCACAAAAATATAACTTTCAATCCATTCTGTCAAATTTCTTTAACAAATAGTCCGAATTCTATCAGGAATGAACGTGTAGCATGATAGAAAGCGAGAGAGCGAGAGAGAGAGAGAGAGAGAGAGAGAGAGAGCGAGAGAGATAGAAAATATCTCATTGGCTCCTAAAAGAAAGTAACATAATGCTAATCGAGAAAGCATACTTACAATAAGATAGGCAATGAACAAGAATATCTCATGCAGTGTTTTGATCAACATTTAAACTTTAGAAGGGAGTTTTTATCTTGGGTGCTTAGAATAAACAAATTTCACTCTCTATCAATATATCATTCCTTGACTTCGTATATATGAACTTAGACTCACTTCACATCTATCTATCTATCTATCTATCTATCTATCTATCTATCTATCTATCTATCTATCTATCTATCTATATATCTATGTTAATCTATTCATATCTATCCACTTATTCATGTTAATCTATTCATATATCATCTCAGTCTGTGCATATCTTCATTCATCTATTAATCTATCTATCTATCTATTATCTCAGCCTCTTCATATCTATATATCTATCTATCTATTCTATCATCTATCTATTCTATCTTAATCTATCTATATCATTCTCAGCCTGGATATTCTATCAATCTGGATATTCATCTATCTATCTATCTATCTATCTATCTATTCTATCAATCTGGATGTTCATATTCATATCATCTATCTATCTATCTATCTATCACAGGATATTCATATCAATCTATCTATCACAGGATATTCATATCTATCTATCTATCTATCTATCTATCTATCTATCTATCTATCTATCTATCTCGGCCTCTTCGTATCTATATATCTATGTTAATCTATTCATATCTATCCACTTCATTCATGTATTAATCTATCTATATATCATTCTCAGCCTGTGCATATCTATCTATCTATCTATCTATCTATCTATCTATCTATCTATCTATCTATCTATCTATTTTGAGGTAGGATTGGCAAATTAATAATCTTACAATATTCGAATGAATTTGCGTACAAAATCTAGGATGGGACATGTTGCACGAACCGAGGCATGTGTGTACCATCTATGAGCTAAGCAAATTCCATTAATTTGCAACACAAGCATGTTACCTTCCCCGAGTTACGCGGAACTAGTGTCAAACAACTGGTACAGACAGAGGCAGCAAGATAATGTGAAAGTTTCCAATGAGGATTTGTTCAAGAAATGACGGATGCAAACCATAGAAGCCGCCTTAATGCTGCCACATCTGCAGAAGAATTCCTCATTACAGTCTTGCGAAAATTGTAATGTGCAGTCACCGCGTTTGGAGTAAATGTAGAAAGAACCTTTTCTGTGATCTACTTCTATGTGCCGTGTCGTTTCAGAACAAGAGCGATCATGGCGCTCCACAACATCCTGTCCTTCGTAGCTCTGAGCACTGTTTGTCTTTTTGAATATCCCGTTTAATCCTTGTCCTGCTGACCATAAGAAAAACTAGTACGTTCAGTTAGTCATTCACTGATTTATTTTGCCACTCTCGCCTTCAAGGTGTGTCAGATTTTCCAAGACCTCTGTCCTCATTATGTACCCTGGAAATTCCAGTTGTCACTTTCTGACGATCAAGCATGGTCACTACTTAGATGGGTGATCACTTGGGAATAGTAAGGTAAGCTTGTATGTGCGGGTGGTGTAACGCATAATGAAGTTGTTAATTGAAGAGCCGAGATCCACTTCCGGATGATTTCACTATATTCACTTATGAACAAATACCCTCGGGAAGTCGACGAATCCACCTCTTCTCTGATCATAGGCATGCTGACGAATGTAGTTTATCGTCTTACCCAGGAATAGCATTTATGAGGCGGTCCCACGGTCCTCAATACTTCCCATCTCCAGTTCAAAGGGCATGCTGCCGAATGTAGTTTATCGTCTTACCCAGGAATAGCAGTTACGAGTCGGTCCCACGCTTCTCAATACTTCCCATCTCCAGTTCAAAGGGCATGCTGCCGGATGTAGTTTATCGTCATACCCAGAACGGTCTTTTCGCCGAGACATGAAAGCCATGATTATGTCGGCCATAGTCTAAAAGATTCTTTGATATTTGAGAACCAAAAAAAGAGGGAAATAATTTGTTTTTTAGTCTTTTAATTCATTAATTAATTGCAGCCTCTCTCGACCAGAGACCTTGTTGCCGGATGTAGTTTATCGTCTTACCTAGTACTAGAAATTTAGAGCTGATTCTACGTTCCTCAAACCTTTAAATCTCCCTATCAGAGACCTTGCTATCGGACGTATTTTATTTGAAGAGGATTTTATTTCGTTGCAATTAAACTTAGAACGTATAGCCAAATATCGCCAAATGTGACCATTATGTGTTTAAAAAAAACAAAAAAAAACGAATATATTTCGTAAAATTTAAAATAACTAACATAGTGTCCCAAATAAGACACAACTATCAGCCCTGTATATTTTTTACGTAAATATAGATAGATGTATATCTATAAAAGAAGTGGATGAATAAAAAAGGATTTTATATTTGAAATCGACAATAAAATATTAGGTTAGGACACCTATTTTTATGCTTACCTCAATTTCTTTGTAAACCAGTGTTATCAGACAAATCTCAAACTCAAACCAAACTGAGATTGTTTCATGTCTTCGTTTTGCTCGTCTTCTCTATGCATGAGAGTGGTGGACTTTAACATCTGAACACCAAAGCTTCGTATTTCCTACACCAACTGCCTCACAAATGTTCTTTTTATAAAGGTCTTCACTCTGTACAAAGCACAGGCGTCATTCTAGATAAAGAATTACCGAATAAGAACTATAGAGTATGCGGATATATGTGGAGGATAACGTTAAGCCGTAGGCTTGAACGGGTTCAGATTGAAGTGCCGAGGAAGCATTCTCGTGGAAGTCGGTTACATAAGGCAATGGTCCATGAGAGGAATTTGCTCGCGTGAAAATCATATCTCACCAAAAAAATACGAAGGGAATGAGGGTGGTTTAATAAAAGCGAAACATGTTAGCCTGATAAACATTTCCTATTTGTCCTTTATTTTATCACACACACACAAACGCACACACACACACATATACATACATATATATATATATATATATATATATATATATATATATATATATCAACCACACAATTCCTTCTTTTTCGCTATATCTCATTCTCTGATGAAGCTTTAATAAAAAGCTTTAGATTGAAAACATTTGCTATTTGTTCTTTATTTTAACACACACACACACACACACACACACACACACATATATATATATATATATATATATATATATATATAAACATGTTCTTTTTTTTTCGCTATATCTCATTCCTGATGGACAATAAAAGGAAACATGTTAGATTGATAAACATGTCAAAAGGTCTTCCCTGTGGACAAGGATTACCGAATAAAGAATTACCGAATAAGAGCTACAGACTATGCGGATATGTGTGGAAGATAACTATTAGTCGTAGATATGTACGGGTTCAGATTGTATTGCCGAGGAAGCATTCTCGTGGAAGTCGGTTACACAAGGCGGTGGTCTATGAGAGGATTTTGCCCGCGTGAAAATCATATCTCACCCAAAAAATACGAAGGGAATGAGGGTGGTTCGCTACAATGGGCGTGTCATGGCGGGTCTTTGTCCTGAAGATTAGATCTGCTGTAACTCAGGTGTATAGTCCATTTGAACACTTTTCATAGAAATAACCATAAAGCAGTGAGAGGCTTGCGACGTGTCGTCTGTGAGAAAGAGATTGTATTGTGAAAAATAATCCGTCACCCACAAGGACGCGGAGCGTTTTTGGACTCTGTCAAAATGGACAATGAAGACTGTGCAGCTCCTGCCTAAATGTGACAGCAGTAGTCCATTTTCTAGCTGATCAGACTCTTGTATATATATATATATATATATATATATATATATATATATCAGTACATATATCATTATATATATATATATATATATATATATATATATATATATATATAGATAGATAGATAGATAGATAGATAGATCAGTATATATATATATATATATATATATCATTTATTTCTAGCATTTTCTAGCGATGGATTGTATGTACGAGCTGCACTTGATGTTTGGTCTGAGTTTAAGTCCCTACAGGCGCTCAGTTGACAGGGCTTCCTTGGGGGAACATCCTTTCATCGCGATTGGTGAATGTTTTGGTTCCAATCGGCGACTGCGAAAGGTTTTGAGAAGAGCGTGTCATCACTATAAAGAAACGTGTTGACCACCATAAAGAAGAGGAAGCTAAAGAGGTATGACCCCCGTAACCAGATCACGTGGCTACTCGAAAACTATCCTACAAGGTACGGAAGAAGGAGGAAAGAGAAAGGGGCGACAAAATAAGAGATGGTCGGATAAATTCTTCGAATGGACCGGCGAAAGATTTGCCTAAACCCAGGCGTTGGCCAATAACTGGATCGAATAGAGCCAGCTGTTTGGGCAAGTGAATATCTAGCGTTCCTACAGCTCTTGTGTCTTATGCATTATAATCTAAATCCGACATTGAGAAACTGGAATTATTATTATGCATTAACATACATATAGAAATAAATTATACCTTTTTTAGGTTGGCTTGGAATTCGTTAATTTCTTGAAATTTCTAATGGACGAATCGTCTCTCCTTGAATTTGGAACGCCAGAAATTATACTAACGTTGGTTTAAAAGGCCGGATGCACGTGACAGATGTTTAACCAATGAATATCAAACAAGTCAAAAGTAAAAATATCAGAATTTCTTTCTTCCTTTTTTTCATATCTCATTCTCTGATGAAGCTTTAATAAAAGCGAAACATGTTAGATTGATAAACGTTTCCTATTTTTTCTTTATCTTACCACACAAACACACACACACACACATATATATATATATATATCAACCACACAATTCCTCTTTTTTCTCTATATCTCCGTCTCTGACGAAGCTTTAATAAAAGCCAAACATGTTAGTGTTATAGTAGAACACACCTATTCTATAGTTAATAGACTCTCCCACCTATAATAAGTAGGAGTAGTAATAGTAACGAGTGAGTCGCTCAGTGAGTTGGTTAGTCAGTCGGATACTAAAAGTATCAGCGACCACAACTAGATTACTGCGTCATACCTATTATATGAAGTTCCTAACGTTTTGTACGTCGAACCTGTTTTA